AGCTTCTTTACAGTTATACCGAAGACAAAGAAGAAGGTTCTGCAAATTAAGCATGCCAGTTGTTACCTTGGTTTTGTTTTAATTTTTCTGGAATATTTTTTTTCTCAATTTTGCTCAAAGTCTGCTTGAACTTCAGATGCTTCTCTATCTCATTATCTTTGTACCAGTAGTACAAGGGATGGACTTAACACAGCAGCCAGGTCCTGCTCACTGCTGGACTCTGGTGGGGAGCCACCCAGTATAGCTCTCTGAGATGTCACCCTCCCAGCATGTTCTGGTGTTTCACCAGTCTAGTGTTAGTTTTAACAGCATATCCGGGAGAGAAGGAGGAATGAGTATCAGAAGACACATCCTGTTCTTAATTTCTTCTTTATCAAGTATGCTTTTATGTCTGGTATCAAGAATTCATGAAATTACTGACCCACCAGTAAGGACATAATACCATTTCAAATTCTTCTCCAAGGGATCCTAAAGCTGGAGAAGGTTACGCCAGGGGACTGGATTCAGAGCTTTGTGTTTTTGACCACCCTGCAAACCACTGCTTTCCAAAAGCACTACAGTCGGTTTTCAGGGTCCAAAGCTTTGATTTTGGCCTGCTGTAAGACAAGCGTAAGCCTTCTGCAGGAAATGAGAAGCTGTGGACAAATTTGGAGTTCATTGTTTTTAATGATTATGGGCCTCTGTCTGTACTTAGGTGAAGAGGTGTTTTCTGATATCCAGGCCATCGGTATGTACTATGTATGCAGAAGTAGCATTCAAAGATTGTTGCACAGGCATAAGGTCAAATACTCAGAAATTAGTATATGAGAAAAGATAGCTTTAATCACTGGTCTTCACTAAAATCTTGGTGAGTATCCACTAAGTATGTTGAGAAGTTAATTTTCAATGTTATGTTCCCCAAACTAAAGGAAGCCCTTCTCTTTAAAGGGACTGATATGAGGACAATCTTCAAACTGTTACTACTGACATCGGAAGAAATTCATACTGCCTCCCACTCACCCATCACATGGAGAAGCTGAGGACTGTTCTGGCAACATGATTTGGGAAGAATCAAGCGATACCAATTTATGGATTCAAAGGTATATTTTCCAAAGTATTTTGCATTTGTGGAACTCTTGTTATAGAAGGTATTTGCAATTTGCCTGATCACCATTGTTGCCATTTGTAAATACCGTGATGTCTTAGGTAAAGTTGGTCAGGAAATGGATCCTCTTTATTTTAGTGTCTTCATTTTGGGGGAAAAAAAACAACAATCCAAACCAAAACCAGCCAAACAAACCCTAGTTTTCTATATGAAGGAAGATCCCTTCTTTAACAAAAAAACTCTCAAAAATGTTAATGGATTTTTTTTTTCATTAGTTTGTTGGCAATTTTTTTAAATATTGTATTTGCTTAAGCAACTGCTTCTTTTTTTTTCATTTTAATGAAAAACAGATAGTAAAATATGTTGAATAACTATTTTCTTTAAGATGTGGAACATACAATGAATTGCTAAGTAGTTTTATTGTCTACAAGGATATTTGGGAAACACCAGATCCTTTTTAAGGTCTTTATGTATTTTCATGCATAAAACAGCTCAGAGATTTCCACGGACTGAGAGGTCTATCCCCCTGAATCATGCTGTAAGTTCAGGGTTTTACCCTGTACAAGCTGGTAGATAGATTAGAAATAGAAAAAAAATAAATCTATATTTTGCAGAGAAGATTTTAGTAATTAAAATTAACTCCACTAGCCTTAATAACAGTCTGTTGTGACTTTTTTTTTTTAATTATTATTTTTCTTCTGTACAAACAAGTAAGTTCCCAGTGTATGTTCATAGCGCGGAATATACCATGAGTGACTGTTGTCTTACATCTCTGGAGGTGGACAGCTGTTGATGACAGGGCAGCATATAATCTCACTAATACGGTGGAAAAAAGAAAAATGAAAGGTAAATGTTCCCCAGGTCAGGTGCACCCTTGGGAAGACATGCCCTCCGCATCAGAGAATTATGCCACTACCTTTTCCTCAAGAGAAAAATAAATACTGGTGACTCAAAATGGCAATTTCTACTACATTTTTATTTAATGCTTTCTCTCCTGAGCTCGCTTTACTTAACTAGAAAGCATTCTTCTCTTCGAGTAGTTATTATTAATGTGTTCTGTAGGTTTTATTAAATAAAAAGCAATATTTTTACTTCAAGTTTGCACCCGCAGAAAATATTTTACAGGTATTAGTTTAAAAAAAAGTACAAGCCCATAGCTGCAGCTAAGATAGTATGGGTTGTATACGGTGTGATAGAGAGAACAAGGACCATTCACTTTTTGAATCAAATGTTACCCTTGAAATGTTGGGAAAACTGCATGGGAATTTTGGAAAAGGGCCTTCTACCTTGTGTTAGGAAAACTGCTGAAGCTGTCAATGTTAATTTTGTCATGACACTAACAAACTCACCTCCAGCAAATGGCGCAAATAAACATTAAGGGAAATTAAATAAACATTAAGGGAAATTTATACTTTCCTAACTGCAACAGTGTGGCTGTTTTGCAGATCCAACACCAAGCTTGCTTCCCTCAGGGACCAGGATAAGTATGAGGATGCTCGTGCTAAAAACTCAGCCTCCATGGAGCAGCTCTTGCTCAAGTGGAGACCCCGTGGGAGCCCTGGAGCAGCGAAGCAGGTTTCCAGGTGAGTGGCCCTGGAGGGAGCATGAGTCTGCCAGGGGGGTTGGGATACTGGTGACTCTTTGGAAAACTGGAGGGAATAAATTGATGTAGTGTGAATTCTAGTAAATCAGACTCCCAAAAGAGAAGTGATTTGAAGCAAAGGTCAACTACTACATTTTCCTCAACTGGAGAATAGTGAAGCAAAGGCCATGACAGATGAATGAAGCAGTCAGATTAGGGAGTAGTAATGGCTTATGGTGTGTTTGCCACAGTTGATGTATGTTTGTGTGCTGGTTTTGGCCGGGATAGAGTTAATTTTCTTCACAGTAGCTAGTACAGGGCTGTGTTTTAGATTTGTGCTGAAAACAGTGTTAGTAATACAAGGGAGTTTTCATTATTGCTGAGCAGTGCTTACCCAGAGTCAAGGCCTTTTCTGCTCCTCAGCCCACCCCACCAGCGAGGAGGCTGGGGGTGCACAAGGAGTTGGGAGGGGACACAGCCGGGACAGCTGACCCCAACTGACCCAAGGCATATTCCATACCATAGGGCGTCATGCTCAGCTCATAAAACTGGAGGAAGAAGAAGGAAGCAAAGGGACATACAGAGTGATGGTGTTTGTCTTCCTTAGTCACTGTTACGCTTGATGGAGCCCTGCTTTCCTGGAGATGGCCGAACACCGGACTGCTGACGGGAAGTGGGGAATTAATCCCTTGTTTTGTTTTGCTTGCGTGCGCGGCTTTTGCTTTACCTACTAAGCTGTCTTTATCTCAACCCACAAGTTTTCTCACTTTTACTTTTCCGATTCTCTCCCCCAGCCCACTGCAGGGGAGTGAGCGAGCGGCTGGGTGGGGCTCAGTTGCTGGCTGGGGTTAAACCACAACGGTGTATGTCTTCCACTTCTCACCTCCAAGTGCAATATCAGACTGTGCTCTGTACTCTGTGCTTGTTTATATTTGATGTCACAGCAAGAAAACAAGGTACCATTAGCTTTTACTTGAAAGGTCATATTGCAGTTTTTTTCCTGTAATCTGAGGGATTTCAATCATAGCAAAACAAGATTTAAAAATCTGGCCTAAGCAACTTCCCTAACCCGACTGTATCACAGAGAAATAAAGTTAAACATTGAGTTCCACGTTAGACAATTACCGCAAAGTTGCTCAACTCACTTTTCAGTCACTGGTGTCAGTTGTTCTCTGTGTGAAAAACAATTAAATCCTCCATATTTAGGAAATGACCCTGCAAATTTTAGCCTGCCATTAACAAAATACAAATGTCAGGATATATTTTAACCGCTTTAAATCAGCGCACTGAAGATGTTTATTGTGAAGCACGTGGGTAATCCCATCCCAGCTAGTAAGTGCATTGAGGTATCAGATGTGCCACTGAGTTCCTAGGGTTGGATGGAGATTTGGGTGTCTGAGCTAAGCCATGGCGACTGACCCTAGATATGAGTTTTATCTTTCCTAAATACAGACTAATGTCCTAAGTATCATAGAAAAAGGCTTTCCCCCGTATTCAGGTTGGGTTGAGAGAGCATACCTTGTCATTTTAGTTTAGCTGAAATACCGTTACTTCTTAAGCTGCAGGACCTCAACTGTATGGCTGAGCCTTAAGTAACTTTTCATAACTTCAAACATAAGCTTATGTGATTTGCTGAGGCAGGGCTTTCATTTTGAAATTAATGCTAACATTTATGCATGCGCTTAGTTTCAAGCACTGTCAGTACTCACATTGGACTTGGATTTATCCATTGATAGACTGAACTGTAAAGAAGAAACAAACCTAGTAGGATAGTCTCCTGTGTAAATGTAATTCATAAATATTTGCAGAATCATGTCTACAGGTTCAAATACGTCTTGTAGCTATTTTATGGCTTTGACAATGTTACCTGTTCGTTTTGTCACTTTTAATTTTTTTTTTTTTGTTACTAGTACAGTGTTTGAAATTAATTTTCAAATTTTATTCTCTGTTGATCAGGAGAAAAAAAAGAAGTACCTATACAGTGTTAACATGAATATTGACCACAAGGTGAGCAGGACCCTCTTTTTGTCAGAAGCTTGCTTGTCAGCATGCCGGTGATAGATCAGATGTAAAGAAAATCACTTCTGCAAAACCAATTTGCTAAGGGGCTTGTAAAATCCATTTTTAAAAAGTTACTGAGGCGAAAAAGTGAAGGACCAGCCAACCAGATATTTTGATCGGCTCTTCAAGGTCAAAAACTGATTACTAATTCATCAAATACCTTACTGGTAGCACTGTTTGAAGAGCAAACAACTCTGTGCAGATGTTCTACCTAATAATTCTAATACCATGGAAAGATGGGTAGGGTAGGAACAAATAGAATTTTTTACTTACTTTTGGCAATGCTACAGTCGTAGGAGCTGTGGTCTTCAAAACACTGGCAGCCCAGTTCAGTACATTGTCCATTGCCATTACAGAAAGCAGGACACCGGAGAACGGTGAGGATTTCCTCCTGGGTAGCAGATAGCTGGTTTCCTACATGAAACACTCTGTTTCTGTTTCCTAGCACTCTTCTTTCACATTCATTTTCCAAAAGGGCTATCAGTGCCCTCACCCAAGCCACATCATCTTTGAGCTGCAGATCTAAAAGGCATATATCAATTGCCTCATCCATCTGTTTTCCAAGGAGACCTTTACACACTAAGCCAATGGTGGAATTTGCAAGAATTTCGTGGCAAATCTCCCGAGCTTTGGTGGCAGTTAGGCCATTGGGAGTGGGCCATGCCAGGGGAAGTTTTGTCCGAATCCCTTCAAAGTAATCCTCTGGGAAAAAATATGCAAAACTCTCTGAGTCTCTCTGGCTTGGGCTACGCAAAGGGTGAATGGATGAATACTCATAATAGTCGTCTTGCCTTTTTGCTCTTCTTAGGTCTTCTGTTGGTTTGGTAGAGTTAATGGAACTGTTGCTTTTCATGGAAACATTGTACGTGAGGGGTTTTAATTGGTCCTGGGGGCTGCCTCGCTTTTGAACTGATTTAGGGAGATATCTGTGATCAAAAGACTTGGTGAACAGTTTATCTTTTCTTAAATTAGACTCTATTTCTGAGTGAGTGACAAACTCTGATGTAACATCTAGATAGGAGATTGCAAAGGTGTAATCCACGTGATCATAATGGCAACCAGAGGACTGAGAGAAAGGAGTCCGAAAGGCATTCTGCATGTTTACCATGGGCATGGACTTTGTGCTCTCCTTCTGACATCTGCAGTAATTTTTCCTTTGCTTCTCCTCAGAAGGTTCTGGAGTCTTGTCAAATAAACTCTTCCCTGGAGGTATTCTGATTTTAAAATAGAAAGAGATTAGAGAGAGGAAACTTTCAACAAATTGGTCTACAATACCAAGTAAACTTTCTTTCCCTGAGGCTGAGAAATGCATAAATTCCTAATCTTTCTACTTAAGAAAATACTTAAGTTTAATCTCCAATTTCTTTAGTCACTTTTGCACTGCCCTTCTTGAGTTGTCCTGTACATTTTTTAGCTCTACATGGAGACTTTTTAGTAACAGATGTTTAAGTGCTTCGCTGGAGCGTTGCCTAACTGCTTGACTTCTCTTTGCAGAACTTTCTGTAAGGTGCAGGTTACCCTTTGCATATTACACATGAAATAAGGCCTTGGATTTGTCCCTGGTGTGACTCAGGCACAGCATGGAGACAGACATATTTGTTTCCAATACTTTATTATGAAAATCATCTTTATCTCTTTGCCTGTGCTCTCCTTACCAGATATTTTCTCTAAGACTTGGATGACTAAATTTTTTTCTTTTAAATGTTTTTTTTTCCTTTAAAATTCTTTTGTGCATACTTCATCGCATTCTTGTCTTCTAATGGAGCTTTTTTTGAGTTTTTCTTTTGACACAAAGTTTTTTTCTATTGATCATAGGGCTAGGCTATCAAATAAGGGAAGGTGGTATTTTGTTCCCCTTTTTTAATTTAGTCCAGCTTTGATGATGGATGAACTACTAGAGAGTTTAGTTTGAATAAGCAGCCATGATTAAAGTTTCTTTAGAAATTTCATGAGTACAAGATCTCATATTGATCTTATTTCTGCAGAATAAGAATAATCCTGGAGCTTCATAGAAAAAGATATGCTTCTTGTCCCAATAGTTGGCAGCACTTCATTTCCAGACAAATTTGAAATATCACCAAAAATTTAAATTATTTTGGCATTAATTTTGTCTTGCAGCCAGAATGTAGAGATTTCAGGAAAGTGAAAACATTTGCCAATATTTTGGAGCCAGACAGTAGATACTGTTGTAGAAAAAGTAATTGCCTTTATGTAATTTTTCCAAAATAAATTGAAAACAACATGTATGATATTACTATTTTGATCATTGATACAATACTAACTTTTAAATAAAACATCATGGTGACACAGGTAAAATGAACCAATTTCTCCTTCTGAAACATGAGCCCAGACATTTATGAAACCATTTTTCCGAATGTGCGGGCACTGCAGAATACAATGTGATACAATAGGATGACTTTCATGCTCGCAGAAATGCACAGGCTATTCTGCACTTTCCTACAGACTAGGACAATAAAACATATTTGGTGATTGATGGAGCACTAGTCCTTTGGGCAAAGCAGTTTAGTGCCTGACTGGGCATCATGCTAGCGCTGTTCCTCCAGCTCTGCATGGTGGTGTTACCTGCAGCTGAAGCTGCCCAGACTTGCATCATGAACTAACTGTAAATCTAAACTAAGGCAGCAGAAGTAGCTCTTTCTTAGAGGGAATATGACAGGAACTAGAGGCTAGGGTAAATATCATATATTTAATAAATAAACAAATAACTTAATCACGTGAACTGGTCCAGAATCAGGACAGAAAGTTAAAACACAAATGAAAATTTCAGTAAAAGGAACCTCTTCTGCCTTGATATTTTACTGAAATTCCTTACAAAATTCCTTTCTTATTCCCTTACGAAACCCTTCCTTTCGTCAGCCCTGGCCGACAGGTTGGGGGTGTATGGTGTGGAAAGGATGGAGCCACTGGAAACCACGTCCTTCCTCACAGGCATGCACATACCGACAGCACCTCAGTGAGCCAGGATGTGCCTCCTGTCCCCTGCATAAAATGACTAGACTATCATTCTTCTTAGCTGCTGTCCTGGTTTGGCTAAACCAGGACTATTTCTCCTTTCAGGAGGTTTTTTCTTTCAGTTAAGTTTCTTCTGAGTAACTGCACTTTCTAAAAGTGAAGTTATATGCTTTTCAGAGAGTGTCTGTTTTTCAGACTTGATAACGCTTGATGTTTATAGTTGCTACTGAAGTATCAGTAGGATTGATATGCAGAGAGGCCCATGTTTATACTTATCCCTATGAGAACCAAGGACACTGCTGGCTGCCTTTTGTTAAACAAGTGAAAAAGTTGTAAAAGGGTCACACCTGCAGAAAAGTGCAGATGGGACAGGTGACCAGATACTGACCAACGAGGTATTCCATCCCATCCACGTCATTCTCAGTATAAAGCTAAGGGATCATGGGGGTCTCGCTCTCTTCTTTCATGGCCGGCATCCCTGTGGGACCCTGCTCGCTCTCCTGCCTGTGACTCTGATCCATGCATTCCTGAACCTGGTTCCTGTCAGCTGCAGAGTCCGGTCCGGGACGTCCGGGTGCCCACCCTACTGCGGCAGTGGCATGAGCAGCTGCAGCCTGCAATTCCCGACCATCATTGGGAAACTCAGTGTTGGTTTTGTGTACTTTTGTTTCCGTTATTAGTAGTCTTAGTACTAATATCATTATACTATTTTTCATTATTATTGTTTTATTAAAGTAGTTTTAATTTCCAATCTGTAAGTCTCTCCCCCTTTCCTCTGTCCCTTCCCTTTCCAGGGGGAGGGAGGGGTTAACAGAGAGCATCTGCTGCACATTTTAAGAGCTGGCCCAGCTTTAAACAGTGACAGCTGCCCATTACAGTCAAGGAAGAACTAAAGACAAGTTTTTCAAATTGAGTTGGATGCCTTTATAGAGAGTCCAAAATTAATAGCATTGCTGCTGGTTTCTCAAAAGATCTGAAAAATAGTTTGAAAAATCTATTTTACCTACTTAAAATACATGTTTTAAAATTCAGCTCTTCCTTGTCCGGAATGTATTTAAGGGCTGGGAGGCTCTGATGTTGTTTTATTGTTTAAAAGTTGCACTAGAAAGCTGATGTTTAAAACAGATCTGTGCCATTCAGAGCCCTGCAACTGCTTGAGAGAGGTGGGAGCCAGGGAAAGAAAAAGCTGAACTGCCAGATGGTGAGCACTCAGCCTAGCTTCAGGTGCTGGAGAAAACCTAACATGCTTTCAGTGTTATTTAAAATGAAATTAAAAACAGCAGCAGAAAAATCACCGTCTAGGTTTTGATTTTTTTACTGCACCTTTTCTCTGTGAGTGGATCAGAGACCAACCCAGTCTCCTCTGGACGTGGCCTCTGCCTTTCCATTGGCTTGGATTTTTGATCAGGTTCTGAAAGGTCCTTGAGAATCCATCCTTGGGAGTACTATAAGGTGAAACTCACCACCCCTCCTGCCCTTCTCACTTAGCAGGAGCTTCTTCTGCCTTTGCTGAAGTATCTATATCACACGTGCTGAGCGCTAGAAAGCTCACTGATTTATAAATAAATTCCTATATATTGTGCTTTGGCTTCTGATCTTTCAACAAACGTCCTTTGAACAGGTCCTCCTAAGGATCTTGTTAGCCCGTTTTTGGGTTGTCAGCAGGTGGTCGGTTCTTGCACCAAACTATTTCTGCATTTGCTTCCCAGAAGCAAGCTCTGACTGATTATCACATTATTAAGATGTTAAAGATGGCTGCTGAACTCTAAATAGTACAATTTGTAACGACAGGTCAAAATTGCCATTAAATAGCCATTACTTAGGCCCATTGAATATAACTAGAATATGGTAGAGGTGTTTGTTTATTTTCTGAAATGCAAGAGGTCTGAAAATGTATTGTTCCTACAGGATTGCACTAAATTCCCAGGTACAGATTAAGTGGTACGATAAGGTAGTTTGCCTTATTTTTCCTTATTTGCAAAACATACTTCACAAACAAAACTACTCAGTCAACCAAACCCATTTTGGTTTTAAGAACACCTATTAGGCACGTTTAGAGTTCAGCAACAAGAATTAAATTGTGGTACAGGGATAAGGATAGGGACAGGTACAGGGACAGGGATACTTCATAAAGTCAGACTCCTGGCTTTGGTTCCAGACCATCTGTCTCAGAAACTGCAAGTTTTTAGAGTTCACTGTTATCATTAGTAGAGTAGATACTAAGTTTTAGCATGGTACATACATTACCACATTTTGTGAAAATGTAACATTTAAACTATACTCACATATTGTAATTAGCATTTGGGAATAAAAGAAGAAGGGAAACACCAAACCCTTAATTAATCCCTATTGTCAGTTATCTACATTTTCTAGTGTGGGTGAGAGCTGCATTTTTTTTAACAACTGAGTGGGATCTTAACACAGCTGTTTACATGACATCACTTCCAAATATAAAACTTCTCTCTTAGTAACTGCTTATGTGTATTGTGCAGACTGAAAATCAAGCCCCTGTGCTGTTAGGATGGTAATGGGTCTCCAGGCTTCCATTGCTAGATTAAGCAGATCTCTCTGTCAGGTCATTAGGGGAGTATGTAATGGAATAAACCTATCAACAGCCCTTGAAACAGTGCTACAGAGCATCTCCCAGGCAGGGATCCTCTCTCGCTTTGTACCTCCACTCCTCTATGAAGTCTTCCTCGGGCACATTGCTCAGGTCGTTGTGACCGATCCCATCAAAGAGGCCACACAAACCTCTGGTGCTGTTGAAGTCGCTGCCCGGCGTCCTCACTGTCAGACCCATTCCCCACTCGCTCACGTCGGCTCGAACAAACGCTCCTGAAGGGAACAGGATCTGAACGGGCAGAAAAAAAATCCCAGTGAATTGAAGCTGTTACCAAGCTTTTTATGTGATAAAAAAATGACCCTTTCTATAAATAAAAATATCAAAGTAGGATGTTGATGATGGCAGAGGTAATTTAAGATCATTTAGATACACTATACATAGTTATTTGTGCTACTATTTAGCTTACTTTCATATTCTATGGTACTAATATCTGATAGCATTACATAAATATAAAACTGCACAAGTGCTTTCTTTTTAACTTAATAATTACATCCATTGAAATTTTCCCACTGGTAAGTTACCAGCTAATTTTAGAAGTGACTTCCATGACAATAAGGCCACCCTTGTGTCTTTGCCTGGGAAATCATTTCTTTCAGATAAACTGCCAAGTTTGAAAAACAGCTTTCTTCCCTCTGAAAAATCGTTTCATTTTCCAAGGCCGGATTAACCAGAAAATGATTGTGTTTTAAAGTGGATAAAGCAATTTTCTCATTAAAGAACTTGTGGTAGGCTTACACTGACCTTTAAAAAAAAAAAATCTTGAGGTTAGGACAAAGAAGTAACTGTGTGGATAATGGATTTTTCAGATTGGTGTCCCAACCAATAATAAAAAAAAAAGAAAAGAAAAAAAAAATATGTTCAAGTGAAATGTATTTTTGTTTGTTTGCTTCATTTTTACAGGTAAAAAGAAAATTATTTTGAAACTGATCTGTGCCAGGAGTGGAAGCAGGAGCACCCTATCCTGACAAGTAACCTTAATATTTTTTTTTGATCCAAAAGTAAATGTTCTCAGTTAATCTTAAAAAGTACATAAAACAGTTGGAAACATCTCATTACAATAATTTCAAAATAATTATTTTCCTTTTTTTAAGTGATCCCTGCCTAGGTATAATTTATTCAGCCAAATAATGTCCATTGCTTTTCTTTCTTTCAGTGGGGATTTTTTGGTCCCTTACAAACTCCTCCCCACCAAATCTATTCATATCTGTGAAGAAGCAACTAGCTTATATTTGTATTTCTGTGTTGGAATCCAGAGTTTACATTTTGGCTGCACTAAATAATAATGTTGCCCATTTTAGTCATCAGAATACTTTTTGAGGAGCTCTCCATGAGTGATCTCCTTGTCTGGCTGAGCAGAGTAGCAAAGGGCCGCTGATTACAATAACAGTCAGGGACACTATGTTTTGAACGCAGAGCCTCTGTGTTTTGATCGGGACATTTAAAGCATCCTTTTTTCAAAAATTATTGGCTTTGGTGAATAATGGAAGTCATCATATAAAACCAGTTCTTTGAATACATCAGAAGGTCTTGGCTGTACCTCCACCTTGCCTGTACCCCCACGTTGCTTGTACCTCCACCTTGGCTGTGTGTTTCTCTTCCCAAGGTAAGTTTAAAAAAAAAAAAAAAGATTCCCCACCATAAAGCTCAAATGGTCTAATGGTTTAGTGGTTTAACAGGTAGAGCAGGAGAACTGAAGTTAACACAGTGCTGTGTAGGGTTTGATTTCCTTCTTCAGATAAACATATGCCTTCTAATTATATGCTTTATTATAAGGAGCAGCATTTCCTACAAGGCTGCATATAAAATGCTTTCAGTCAGGACTGCATGAGCTGTTGCAGTCTTCTGTGCTGTCTGGATTAATATTCCCAGGTGTGGATTTATTTCAGGATTTTGGAGGGCTGTAACCCCTTCTCCTCCTGCTGACCCAGGCAAGGCGTCCCATCTGCCACGGAGGACCTAACAACTGTCCAGGTTTTCTGTAACCCACCTGGATTTCACACTGCTGATTGAGGCTTTGAAGAAACTTTTTGGAGACCCCAGTTTGCAGAGATATATAGTGACTGACTGCTGGAAGCTGCTACCTTGCACAGAAAAGAGAGTGACTTAACCCTATTCAAAGCATCAGCCTTGGATGGCATGGGATCCGCAGGGGAGTTGACTCCTGCACTGCACGAGGTTGGTGATGGGCAATTACTGAGCAAATTGGGATGCACCACGTACAGTGGTGTGATCAGGGATAGTGTTCATTGCTACCCAGTTCCTATGGATTCCCATTCAGCTCAGGGCAGGATTCATATTCGTGTCCCAGGTGTGTCCTGATTGGTTTCACTGAGGTGTAAATTAGAATAGGGATTCCTTGCTAAGATTATTCTAGTAATAAAACAGTAATTATATTGCATTCAGTTGCAAAATGAAATGACAGCTTGCTTTCTGCTTTTTCTCTATTCTATAATTAACAGACTTTCAATTAATGCCTTTCTAAGATCTATTCAAAGCGAGATCACGAGGAGAGCCAAGCAGAGGCACTCCCTGCATCATTCTGGCTCTACTGTGGACCTATCTTCACCCAAAACATTTCCTGGCAACGAATCGTGATGATATAACTCTAGGATAAAATTATCTTCTTGGCTGTAACTCGTGGCTGTTCTCCTCACCAAAGCCCCTGGTGCAGTCTGCTCTTATTCTTCCAGTGATTTCACTGGATTAGTGTGGATAAGTGATACTCATGTAAAGTATGCTGTGGCCATATATTTTTTAGGCACATACTTTAAATTATACCAAATGTTGCACATTTGCAGCCCATTTTCATGGCTTTTGGGGGCTAATATTGCCTTACTGTTGCACTCTAAAACTACATTATTCTGCTACCTGTGATCTTTCCTTGAATATTTATATCGTAAGCTCTGCAAAGAAATTTGCTTTATGTGATGCGGTTGAGTAGTGCCTAGCATAAACAAACTGAGAGCGGATTGCTGTACTGCAGAGAGTAAGTAACAATATTGGCACTCCGCTATGTCTCCAAGAAATTTCCAGAGATATTTGTTTTGTTTTGTTTTACAGTTTGTTAAACTAACACTTTAACCAGCTTCTTCCCTACATCTTGTTTTTTTGGTACATTTTGCTGCAAGCGCTCTTATGGCTTCAGATAAACTTTTTTGTAGCTACTTCATTAATAATTCAAAAATATTAAACTCATATTTTTAAAGAACAACAACAACCGGAGTACTCAAATATCCACGTACTGTTATTTTTCTCCCTCCGTAGGACTTTAGGATTTTGACATGTGGTGATGCCTCAGTGCTTTTGATGGCTAGCTGGGGTCTGCTCTCCCGAAAATGGCCATTGCAGGTGTCCAGCACCACGGTGTCACCCCCCTCTCGCGCAGCTAAGCCACAATTGCAGGCGGTGGCAGAGCGGTGCCCTCCACAATCCCATTGCCGAACGTGCACTTCAAACGCCCGGGACATGCTCTGGCACAAAAGGAAGGTACCAATTTTATAGTTATCGTAGCGCCTGAAGAGCAACAAACAAAAAAAGAGGATTTAGAGACCCAGAGCATCCACCTGTGACGGCTGTTTGTTGATACTTGTACAACAGTGCTCCTTAATTAGACCAGCGTGGTGGCTGGCCTTGAAGGAGGGAAAAATCAGCATGCAGAGAAGTGTTGCTTCGGCACCGTGAGCAAGGGAATGCCGTCGCAGTTATTAGCTGGAAGTGCATAAGAATTCACGTGAAAAGCGAGTAGCTGTCTCCTAGCTGCTGCTATGGCAATGGGCATGGATAAAAAGGTTAAACATTTGATAAAAAGCAAATGGGAAAAAGTCCCTGCCTCCAGGCCTTAATAAATATGTTTTGGTTCTAACCGGATGCTTTACAGCATGATATTCTTCAAAGCAAAACCAGTGCTCAAATAACCTCTTCTGAGACTAATCACTAACTTTTACAAGACTGACTGTGGCTAGGTGAATACTTCATGTGAAAAACTGGGATTCTACTAAAAACTTGTTAAAATGAAGTTGTTTCCCCCTCCCAACAATACTTAAGTACTTTCAGTACTTAAAGGGGACTTATAAGAAAGATGGGGACAGCCCTTTTAGCAAGGCCTGTTGTGACAGGACAAGGCGTAATGGTTTTAAATTAAAGGAAGGTAGATTCAGTCTAGATATAAGAAAGAAATTTTTCACAATGAGGGTGGTGAAACACCTGAGCAGGTTGCCGAGAGCGGTGGTAGATGCCCCATCCCTGGACACATTCAAGGACAGGCTGGATGGGGCTCTGAGAAACCTGATTGAGTTGAAGATGTCCTTACTCATTGCAGGGGGGGTTGGAGTAGATGACCCTTAAAGGTCCCTTCCAACCCAAAGCATTCTGTGGTTCTATGATTCTATGATTCAACAACTTCCCTGTAAGCACAACTTTTGCTCTAAATGAATTGGCAATCAGCACAGTGCAGTGTGTTGAATAATTTGGGACTTTCATTCTTCTCCGTACAGAAGGTCCTTGCTTTGAGTGAGGCCATGAGCAGAATAACTTTGATAACTTTGCAAATGTTTCCCCTCTGCACGAGCCAGGTAAAACTCCTCCCGCCTGCAGCCCCTTGGGTTTCCACAACAGGGACCTGAGAGAGGATCCTCCTCTGCTTGTTCTTTGATTTCTCACTCCATAAACTTGTCTCATTCTTACTCTATTTTATTCTAACGTGATGTGTGAAAGCAAAGAAAACAGTAGCTCTACACTTTATACATGTTGCTGGAGTTTTCTCCTCACAAGCCAACAGCTGCCGTCTTTAAAATCGATGGGTTATTCTACTTCCTTTTAAGGCCCTGCATTTAGTTTTAAATATGATTTTTATGAAATTAAGTAATATGGAAACTAAGGTTATAATAATAAGTGTTATTCTTTTCTACAATAAGAAAAAAAAATGTGAAGAGGAATGTATAAAACACCTCAACTAAATAACAGGATTATTTTTAAGCACTGTCATACAAACATCAATATTTTTGTCAGTCTGTTAATGTTTCCTATGCAGAGGAACAAATGGCTCAAGAACAAAGAATTTTTAGCATGTATAGATCTATATTTTATTTCTTTTCAGAATAAAAGCCATGGAAAACTATGTAGCTTGAAACACAGTAAGAATTTAAACTCCAACTGCTTTTCTCTGCTAGAAACCACATCTGACTTTATCTTTCATCTTGAAAAACTGAGTGAAGTTGGCCATAAAATGGTAAGATTTTGAATGGTTCTGTCTCATCTTATTTTCTAATCAGGGACTTAAAACCTAAGTACACTGCATAGATGCCGTTGCTAAGATTGATTAGAACTAAGGACAACATAAAAAATAGATAATCTCTTTTAACAACAAGTACTAGCTCCATTTGGACATCTTCACAGGAGAGACAGAGGAGACAGGATATTTTATGAGAATCACCTTCCACAGTTTCCTTCAACAGGGGAGCGTAGAAGGAAAGGTGTTTAGAGAGCCTGGAGGAAAATCGTGTATCAGAATGGCTGTACCCAGACTGATCAGCTGTATCCAGTAAATAAGACTGTATTAACATACGCATGCAAATATCATTGCAAGTATGGGAGATGTTTACTGTTTAATAACCATTGACAGCAGACCCAATCCAAGTCTCCTGGAAGTCACTTAGAGTCTTTCAATTAGTTATGGCACAGATTGCATAGCACATAACAAATCTGCAAAGTGTCTAAATTGAAGCTTTCAGCTGCATTTGAATTACTTGAATGGTTAATTGATTGTAGTCAGGTAAACTTTCATGATGTTTATATAACCGTAATTGTGGTAATGATTCTTTGGACAGTATTTGAGAAATTACTTGTGGCACTAAAAGCATGAAGTAAGAGTTACCGGAGCCTTTGCATGAGGGAGCTCTGCATTTTCTTTGGGAACCAGGCATCACTGCTTGTGTCTAATTGCAGTGCACAATGCACTTCCCCATCCTGCTTCCCTGATAGTCTGTAGCGATGGATGCACTGGGTGGAAAGTGGTTCCCTCCCTCCCCATCGGTGTGTTTGGCTTGTTTTTCAAGGGGTGCAGCAAGTTCTTATCCTAGACTGAAGTCATGACTCAAGTTGTGCTCTTAATCCAAGAAGTATAAAATGCTCCTATGTCTTTGGTTATGAAAGCGAGATGCTAAGAATAATTTCTGTTGGCTTATCATAACAGAGGGACAGAAGAGAATATAAATATGTCTAAACAATTACTACCAGTAGCGTTAGATTGACTAACGCAATGCACTTACTATTCACCAAGCTACACTTCGTCTTTTTATTAATTCAGTTATTATTGTGTCTGCTCTTGAAGATTTTCCACCACAGTTTTTCCACTAAATTATTTGATTTGTTGACATGTCCCTCTAGGCTCCCTCATTTCTTGCCAGTAGGAACTATTTTATGCTAGTTGTGACCCTAGGAAGTGCTGGGTGATGCCAGAGGATGTTCTCTGGCTTCTGAGCGCTCATCACTAAGGACTGGTTATGTTGTTCTCAGGGACCAAAGCTGTTGGGTTATGTTCAGCAGTCATTGGCTGCTTGGGGACGTATAAACTTCTACAGACCATCAAAAAGAACAGCACCTCTGGCAGGGCTACTCATGCCCAGGACTTAGTTGTAGGCTGCTATGATGACTGCTATTAAAGCCAACCAGAAGCGTGAAGCTGGGCAAGCTGAGGGATTTTGTCATAGTGCAGGAAACGGTGCCATTGCCCCTGTGGCAATATTGATGGATGCATTAGCATAAATGTTTGAGAAATCTGAAAAATCTTTTTCCTTTTTTTTTTAAGGTAAAATGCAAAATAACATGCATGATATATGTAGTTCACCAATCAAGAAATATTTCCCTTTTTATATTTTGCCTTAAAAGAATTTTCTGCATATTTAGTTTTAAGCTAGTACTTCATATTTAAGAATCTAGAATTTATGGTACGAAAAGCTTTTATATTTATAATGTGCCATAACTAGTAATGAGGGCTATACTTCTGCTTTACCAGACTTACACATTTGTTTAATTTAGAAGGTACTTTGCTATAAAAGGAAGTGCTCTCTCTGGATTTTAGCTAGTATAATTAACGCTATTTCACATCTATGCTCCAATATACACAAATTGATTGTGCTTACAGTGTAAAAGACGACACATTCTTCTTTGATTTTCAGTCAGTTCCTTTGGTCAAAAGAATGAAAGGATTACAAGATAAATATTTCTACAGAAATATATTAGCAGGAGGCATACCAAAGGGGAGCATTATCATTAGAAGTGGGAGTTAGGTATTTCAGTTATCTAATAAATAGCTAACTACCTCAGATGTAAGGTGAGCTCAGTATGTCAGACTGAAACCCACTGAAACATCACTACAGAATGTACAAAATGAAGTAGTATTGTGAAACCTCACAAAACAACCTATATGTTGGATGTGACCACTTCAGTAGGAAAAATTTACTACAAAACCCCCCCCAACTTCTAGTCTTTTGATTTTCATGCTATTTTTCAATCTGCCAACAAATCTGCTAAAGAAATTATTCAAATAAGTATTTTAAAATTAAACTAAATTTTAAATTTTTAATGATTTTCATTTAAATTTTGGAAATGAGAAAGGTTGCAGTTTTCTATTTTCATGTCTGTTTTCATCTTTGCTTTTCCCCATTGTGTATTCTTCCTTCTCTTCGCCGTTGCTAATGGGAAAGTCAAAGGAGGTAAGCAACTCTGTGGAAGGCAGGAGTATGTTTATGTGCATACCTGTTTGTGTAGCAAACGCTCCTGCCATTTTGCTGTGGGCAATGTTCCCCATCTTCAGACTTTCCCTTGCTTTTAATGTGACAACCCTTCAGCGAGCCATCCCCAGGACTCAAGTGAGTGGAAAGGGTGTCAAAGAGACAACTGATCACCACCCATCCACAGCAGCTCTGCCTACAACATTTTGATCTCAGAGTCTCCTGTCTCCTTATAAGCTGATCTACCAGCTTTGTGATGGAACAAATGTGTTTCCTTGGGTTACGTTCTTTGATGGATGCTCTGCTGTTGATCTCAGAAGCAGTTTTGATATTAGGTTTTGTTTGCTGCCATCTTTGTAGTCGTATAGTGGTGGGTAAAGGCCACTATTTCATTCAGTTCTCTTTGACTCTTTTTGAAAGTTTCTTTTCTTTCCTATGTAAGATTTTCATCCCAGCCCATACCTACAGATCACTTATAATCGAGGTAGCTCCAGATGCCCAAGACCTGATGCTCCACTCATCCTCTCAGCCTATTGCTTCATAGTCCCTAGGAGAAGTTTCTCTTAGCTTTTTCTCTTCTCTTGTTTCACTGCTTACAATCTGCAGATCAGTCTCTTTCTGATACTCTTTTATTATTGAGGGACACTCATACAGTTTCCTACTTGAGCCCACAAGCTTTTTATACAATTCTTCCATTCACAATACCTAATGCACACCTAATTTCAAACACAATTTCCCACCACCATTTCATGACCAAAGGGAAATGCTTCAGTTCCATACCTCTGTGTTAGTCTTTAGCTTTAGGTTATAGGTTAGTTAACAGGACAGAAGCAGGAATTGCATTCTCCACTCCATAAATACAGAGCTTTAAAATCATTTGCTGATGTGTTAACATTTTTTTGGATAGGCAGACAGAGAAGTTGCCTAACTGATGTGTAATAGGGTGGCATAATCATTACAATAATTGAAAGGGAAATTATTTACAATAATAAATGGGAATATAAGTAGGAGTAATGGGACTGTGAAATGATGGGCAAGAAACTTGGCTGAATATCAAGAAGTGATATATCTTAGAGAAATAACCTAGTTATTGAGATGGCAGAAGCCCCATCAGCTTGGCTCATTTGAAACTATACTGGACAGAGCAGTAATGAATGTCCATCCACAAGGAAGAAACGTGTAGTTATCAAGTGGCCAAGCTAATCCTGGGATTTTTCCATTTCAAGGCTGTGTGATTCTAAGGCAGGATGCCACAGAAGGGAGGGCTTTTCCAAACTCCCTGTGCTCAAATAGAATCTCAAATTGCTTAGAAGCATTTCAGTGTGCTATCAATAAAATAACATTGATTTATTTTATTTTAGGCCTTTTTTTTCCCATAGAAACAATGTAAAAATATGCTACATGGCTGAGAGCATTCCCCTATTCCACAAGGCACTTTTGAGTAATTTATGACTTCCTAAACACAACCTGGCAGATCACTGTCCATTCTTAGCCCTAAAGCAGAAGGGACTACTTCAGAATATAGATGTATAGACAGTTTAAAATAATATTCTAACCTAGTTTAATATCCCACAGTTGAAATAATTGCAAATACATGAGGCATAGGAATATCTTTGCACCTCTTGTAGCTCTTCCATAGCTTCTACGTATCAAGCAGTCAAACTTGCATGAAATAAGTGCCTGACCACATTATAAATGGTATTCAGCAAAGCAGGAGGGAAACTAGAAAGCCCTAGATGTGCAGAGCTAATCTGCTAGCTGAGATTACCCAGTTCAGGTGAAATCTTTATTTGAGGCAGATGTATAACCTTTAATGGAGTCACTGCCTTTCTTACTCACATTTCATCGACAGATTTCTCCAGGTTTGACGTCATTTCAGATGTTACCTCCAGAGCATGTTGGACTGAAACTGGGACATTAAGATATCAAAATTAGAATATCAGACCTGCCGAGCCCCTGTGGATGCTGTGCGCATAAAGTCATTATCTGTGCCATTAGGAGGTTAACGGCAGAATGACAAACCTGGAATGTGATCTGAAATATTAGCAACTTTGGATCAAACGTGCCAGATGCAAACTTTAAAAACTTTCTGTTATGTTAAATAGCTGGGGTAAATAGATTCATGAATGATTAGGGAAGTTGACTGAAGAAAAGTTCTGCACAGTACGGGCTGTCAAACACAAAGGTGCCACCTTCGGCTCAGTAAGGCTTTCAGCAACTTGCTGCTGGATAACATAGGAGGCCATCTGGACAGTACAGGAGGACGTACGCCTTTATATTTGCACTCTTTGCCTGATATTTGCCACTTATCATTTCTGAACTTCTTTTATCTGAGACAGTATGGCCATTTTTATGTTTTTTTGGTTGCGATTATGACTGTCAACTCCATGCAGAGATGCAGCTGTGCGTAAACCAGCTCTGGAAGCAGAAGAATGCAAGAGCTGAGTGACTTTGCGTCAGGTGTTACTCAACTGCTGGGAAGGACCAGGTTGTCCCTATGTGTGGTGCTACTACAGGGACATAATGACTCACTTGTGTGGAACTGGGGTGTCACTAACACGATGCCACATGGTGTGGACACCCTCTCAAAGTCATTAATGATAGTTCTGTTTGAAGAACATATTGGAATCTGACCTTCGTCTTATAAAAATTATTCAGACTCAAAACCATTGCCACTTCAAGATTAATCTATTTCTAGTCCTTTTGTTAAGAGTACAAACAGCTGGAAGGAAATCATGTATGTTATTGAAGCACTATATTAATCACTATAAGCAAACTAGTACAGTGCTCTTTTTGATATTCTAATGTAAAACCAAACGCATGCTACATCCAGAAACTGAAAACTGCAGTAATTGAGCCAAATTATTTCAAAGTAGGATACTCACCATCCATCAAATGTGATAATGTGTGGATCAGTGAAAGAGTAGCAGTTCCCTGTTGGGAGGTCTCGAACTGTGACCTAGTTAAAATGAAATGTGTAATGAATACAGTCTACGCAGCAGTTTTTCTTCATTACTGTTCCTCACAAAACATTAAGGGCAGGATTCATGTGTCAAGTACAAACTAAAATCTGACTTCTAAAACATGATTGCGAATCGGTACCAAATAGGCTTCGCTTTCAAAACAACGGAGTTTAATCATATGCAATAAGGGAGTTCAAAGTGCTCTTATTCCACCTGGCTTAATGCACTGTCTTTCTTTACCTGGTAAAAAGTGAAGCTTTTTTATTAAACTTTTTTGCTAAGAAGTAGATCATTTACTGAAATTATCAAGAGAGTAGAGTGCTCATTAAATTGTACTAATTTTAATGCCTGAAGTATGGTATAACGTATGCTGTAATTAAGTAGCATTAGCATATTTTAGTAGTAGTCGTCACTGCCTGTCCCTTAATTTGACCTTATATTTCCTGATACAGCATCTGAATGGCTGATTTATATACTTGATGTGCAGATTTTTGATCGGGTACTGGTGACAAGGCCCCAAATCAGGCTGCTGGAGCCATCTGCTTTTGGCACATGAATAAAAGAGGAAAGGATCTACTAGAGCAACAGAGATCTTCAGCTGCATCAGCTCTTGGATACTTGGGCACAAGCTGGATCACAGATGAGGTCTGAGAGTCCTGGTGTCCTGCAAGGAGCAGATATTGTGAAAGCCAGATGTAGGGCAACTCCCTTTGAAGCTGCAATACCTGAATCTCAGGCAGTGCTGGGTCTGCATTGCCACGTCTGCTCAAGATGGTGGTTTTTTCATGGCTGAATACTCTGCTATCCACTTCTCAGAAATGCAAGACTGGGTTGTGTAGTGATTTGCAATATGAAGAGCTCCCAGTCATACTGGTAGGAGTGACGAAGTATTATGGTTTTCCCCATATCCAGCCTGCCAGGCTGATTTCTTGGCCAGGGTTGTTAATTCTTTGCTCACTCTCTGCCCATGAGAAGTCCAGAGGTTCAATTCAGTTAGTTCTACCATGATCTGCAGAGCAGGGAAGAAGAATGGCCACTATATCCTTGTGCAGTCTTTCAGTGATAAAGAACTTAACTTTTAGGAACACTGGTGAAATTAAATAAGTGAATAAGAAGGTGAAGATAGAACCACGCGTGCTGACAGAATTCCTCACCTGCAGCAGTACATCATTTGTATTTCAGAATGTCCCTTAGCATCGCACAGAGGCACTGCTCAGACACCCACCGGTGTCTGCAGTACCGAACTATTAGAGTGATGGTCTTGAGGATTGAAAAACTGAACACCTCTTTGAACAGCATTTTGCTCTGAGGTCAGTTGTATCATTTGTATCTACAGTGTGATATAAAGAGATGTCTCAGAATTTTACTATTTCCTCCACAGCCGCAGTCTCCCTAAGTAAAACCTTTGCACAAACCAACCCACGTGGCTTTTTCGGCTCTGCTCGTTTCTTGCATGATACCAGCAGAGGATGCAAGTCCTAGTTCTAGACAGTCTTAGTTTGCTGAAGAAATCCACTTTATCAGTTGCCTGAATATGTCAGGTTGTTCTGCCCAACATTTCCCTTCAATTTTCAGATAAATCAAAAATATTGAACAAGTCTGAAGGACTAAAGATTTTGTGTATTTTAATATACGGATTTTTCCTTGATATGTTGCAGGTACTGTGTTACATTAAGGCCTCTAATTAACTGCAAAGCAGCAATGGGGAAATGGGGAGGGAGGGAAGGTAATGTCTATTACGTTTCCATAGATCAAGTTTTAACTGAGATAGATGGAATTTATTATTAAAATTGATTAATTCCATTTCACACTTGCTGTATTTTCATATTCTATTGAAAGCATTTGTAACTTCAAGAAAAATATATGGGTATGTGAGTGCACTACACTGAATTAGCTGCAATTTCTGATTTAAGAATCTTAAAAGGTTTAAAAGAAGCATATGCTGGAGAGGAAAGGATATAGTCCCATACTAGGCATTTTACCTTTGAAGACAAAAATTCTTTTGGTGCAGTTTAATCTCATTCTCTCATGAGCAAATCCACAAAAATTAGGGCAGTGAAATTATAGATTTCATTGGGGGTTTGGTTTCGGTTACTTAAAATATACCAGCTTGAATGTGTCACTGCTCTGAGAAATTTAGCTGAGTCAAATCTGTGATCTGGTTTGTTCTCTCAGGTGATGGGATTATAGCTCTCAAATCTCCCAGCCGAAGCACTGAAACAACTTCACAGACAATGGGCCAGTCCCTGCTCGCCACCATCCCTTGGCCAGGCTTTCTGCAGGGAAAACGTCGCTTGCCTCCCTGATTGCTTCTTATTATTTTGATTTTGGACATTTTGTACAGGGATAAATGAAGACACAGAGTAGCCACGTGTCTTGTCGTAGGTGTCCCGGTGATTCCTGGCACAGTCACAAATTGAACACGGCACTGCTGAGTCCCAGTCCTCCTTTCTCATTACCGAGACACTGCGTTTCCTCTGTTTTCTCAGAAACTGTTTCCCAAACCCTTGGGTTACTGTCTCCCTCCTTCTGGAAAAGGTGCTAATTCCCTAACTCGGGTTCTCCCTTTCTCCTCTTCCAGCATACACAAGCATGCCTGGTTACATCTATAATCCAGCTGTTGGCCTTACTGATGTACTGGCTAATAATCAAACCTAAATACGTTAAAGCAAGGGGCTTTACATGTTAATTTTCTTGGTGTATAAAGAAGCTGTTTTGGTTTACTCTACTGACAGCAGTCCCCAAATGTTTATGTGGTTAAGGTTTACCAGCATCTCATTTTCTTTGATACTAAACCTCCCATTCAAATTTGACACGTTTTCCAAATTAGTTTAGGACCCGACCTTCACATCCTTGGGTGTGTAAGCCCTCCAAAGCAAATCCCTCCATCCGACTGGCTCAGCTCTGATGCGGCTGATGCGGTTCCCATCCTGAGCAAAGTCTGTCACGGCTGTCACTGTCAGCGTGGCGGCTGCACAGCTGCCTTCCGAGCAGGGCGCCTGCATCAGATCCACCTGGCATGCGGAAAGGGCGATGTTTGGGGGCCCCAGTAATTGGCTATCTAAAATGAACACGAACATCGAGTCTGACAAGAGTTATCCAAACAGTTTCCCGTACCCTGTTTACCATCCAACACAAATGTTTCACATTCCAGGACACACATGCCTTGAAACCAGATGGGGTTTGCATGAAGGCAGTTGTGACTGACTTGATCTGGCATCTCTCTGCACATTTTACTGTGCTTTTTCTTTTTTTTTTTTTGTCCCTGCAGTAGGCAGTTTACTAAAACTCAGTGGTGCTTTTCTTTTCACAGGTGTTAATATTTCTGGAATGACAGTCTTATCTTTATGGGTCCATGCCCAGGGAATGAAGACAAGTAGTTCTCATGACAAAGAAAGAGATGAGTCTGTGTTTCTGGAAAATGTTGATCTTTCACTAGCTTCATTATAAAGAGGTATATGCTGGGAGTTATTTAATTTAAAATAAACAGAATTTTTGATCTGGAAAGGGACAGTTCTCAAGTCAGTTTTTAGTGAACTTTGGATCCACGACAGAAAGGCAAATGCAGCAGATTTGTATTTGTATTTTTGGCTTAGCTATGTTATGGTACTTTACTTTCCAATCTGTAAAATGATGGTAGTTTTATTTCTGTCTTTGACAGAGGCATTGTGAGGATAAATTCACTAAAAGAATGTGGAAAAGTAATAAGCTACAGTGGTACTGGCTATGTAATTATCTGTGATGGGTAGGGAAGTGATGGGTAGTGACAAAATCAATATGGCAATGGCAAACCAAGCTATTCATGCAGCTCTGTCTCTGCATATTATATCTTTCCTAAAGGGATGACTTCTAGCAGCATGACTGGTAGTGTCCACTTCTCTTGGGTCCTGACCTTTCATGTTGAGGTCTCAAGTAAAGGACAAACTAGGATTTTTGTTTCCATAGATGTGAGTTTTTTATTTACAAACACTGAATTATGATAGCATTTGTTTCTGAGTCATCTGCTCTGCATTTTATATAGTCTGTGTCTGCTCCTCAAGAAGTCAATCAACCCTTCATGAATACTTTGGTGGGTAAAAAATGAAGTCGTGGCCCTACTGAAGCCAGTCAGAATCTCACTGTTGATTTCAGAACCGCCAGCGTTTGTGCCTAGTGTGTAGCTTTCTGTCCCAGACCATTAATTATGAGCCGATAAGAACAAAGTTCTAGAAATGGTGGCAATGTAATTAATCTGATATGGAAATAAATGATTTCTATATCATTTTCCCATTTGTAGAATTGCTTAATAATTTATAGGAGATAGCATTCAGGTATTTAAAGATGGTATTTCTAACATGATCAAATAATCAATGTTTTATTCCTTACAGAAAAGGGTCATAAAATATAATTTAAACTAACCCTATAGGGTTCTATAGGAACTGAACTAAAACCCTACAAATATTAATAGCATATTATCTCTCACATAAAACCCTTAAAGGCTGCCTCACATCTTATAGAAAAGCCCTCACTCATCTTCAAGGTTCTTGATTCAATTAAATTGGAGGTTTCCATGAGGAATAGTTATAGCCATTACAGCCCCATGAGCTGTGCTCACAACCCAGAACAAAAGGTTAAAATCAAAGAAAATCATCTTGTCAAAATAGTGATGATAAACTTAACAGAAGTCGAACTCCAGTGGCTCTGCTGTGCTGTGGCATTCATTATGATATTGTCTGAACTTGGAGAGATATTTCTGTGCTTGTAATTAGCTTTCTTATCACTTATTCCCTACATAATTAGCACAACAGTGGTGTTATATGGATTCAGGCAGACAAGGAGCTTGTCAGTTAATTTATTCAGTATAAACAAATACCAGCTAAAATTGTTTTTATTTTCAATTTATAGCACTGTGGCCAACACTACATTTTTCAGAAGCCCACAATGTTCCTTCAGATAAACTGACGGACCCTAAAGACAATGAAAGCACAAAATAAACATGCGGTTATGCAAACATCCAGGAGCAGATACTCAACCTTAAGTATGTATAGATACCTCAATTGATCATAAATGGCCCAGGTGTCATCCAAGGAAATAGCCTCAGGATGGAGCAATCAAGGACTAGAGCTGGTTATTAGTTTAAGCTGCAGAAATCAGTTGATTAAAACTAATGGAAGTTTTCCACTTCAGTGACAACTTCCTTCAAAGATTAGTTAACTGGTTGAGTTGTGCCTCCATCCTGGCACCTCTTGGCACCAACACATCAAGCCCACTGGCAGTTGGAAATAAAGCTGTTTCTGCAAGTCTTACCTCCCCTCTTTCTTCCAGTCAAATGCACGTTGTGGGACTGGAGAAGACCCTGGCAAGGGCACAGCCTGAGCTTCAGCCTCAGCCTCAGCCTCAGTCTGTCTCAGTCTGAGCTATTGAAGTCAGCCTCCCTGACTTGAGAGCTCCTGGACGATGCATTCATTGTCCAAGAGATTTTAAAAGGCTTTGTCGATGTCTAAAAAAATATAAGTTAAAAAAATGACCTTGACAGTTTATGTGACTAATTCATATTTGATCCTCATAAACACTAGGTGTCAAAGTTGCTTGGAGTCTGTGGGTATGTCCCATCACGTATCGGCCTGGGCTCTTATCTACCTCAACATCTAAGAAAATCTGTTCCCATGAGCTCAGCGGATGTTTGCCTGATGGACCGGCAGAGACTCTAAGCCAAGAGCAATATGTAGAACAGAGCAGCACTGAACCATGCAGAAATGTGAAGTACTCCACGTACGTGAGCCAACACAGCTGCTGGAACCATAAGGTGCCATTCAGTTTAAGATCATTGTGTTATGATACCATTTGAATTATTTTTTTCTTCTGTCTGAGCACTTGGCTGATGATGGGGAGAGAAAAGAGAGGGATTTAGAAAGGGAAAAATATCAGGAACTATCTGGGTTTTGCCAAAATTTTTTTGAGCTGGCTTTTTGTGGGTAGAGAAACTGTGGCTGCAATCCTATCTCTAAACATTTTTCTCATTGTGCCACCTATGGAAGAGAAATAAATGCCTTGTTAGAAAAAGAGTTGAGTGTTTTATTTACCGCAAATGGAAAGTAAATATATATATATGCCCCCCTTGGTTAGGCATGATATTCCACCAGATTAACCTGAGGAAAACATTTACTGATTAAAAGGGCAAGAATTTTCTAAGTGACATTGTCAATGTTTTCAAGTAAAAAAAAAAAAATACATTCAGAAAGAGAATAATATATAAGCATAAGTATGATTTTTTTCTTTTGTATTAAGTTAGGCAAAAACTGTAAGCCAGCAAAAGAAAGAAAAAAAGGTTTCAGTACACATTTACTGAATAATAAATCTGCAGGTGAGCCTCTTATTGATAATTAATGAAATTATTGTACCTAAGACCATTGCAGCTACAAAAACTTAAAATGGAATTTTATACTCCTGGAATTTAAAATAAGTTCTTCTACTCATACTTATTTCATCCATAAATCTCAACAGACTACCGTTCAGGTTATTGCTAGTCAGATTTTTTTTTCCCTCAAAAACCTGCATGATATTGTCTTCTATTTTATTTTGCAAACAAATACATGGCCAAGTTTGTTGATTTTATGACTTCTGCCCTTTACTGTTATTTACATCTTATAATTTCTGTTACAATTCTTGTAACATAAATACAGGAAAAAATAATCACACTGATTCCATGCCGATATGTGAAACTCTTACCCAAATCCTCAGTACTTAGCTGCAAAGTAATTTTACAGGAATCATCGTGCCCGGGACAGGCAATGGGTACAGTGCTCAGAACAGTCAAAACGTGCTCTTTGCCATCCTCTGCAATTTGTAGTGATTCTGGTAAAAACTGGAAATAAGAAAATAATTTTTAGGACATTTTGACAGATTAATTAGGCAATCCCGATATTTGTGAAATTGTGGGTGTTTTTAATCAATTATGAAAATATATAATTTCCTGGAAAATAATAATAATCTTTGTAATAATCCTCATAATAATACTAATCTTCATAATAATGATCTTCAACTTTATGAGGTGGAATTGTTGTTGAAATACTTTATCATTCTTGGCAATTAAGAAAAATTTTGCAGTTGTCATATTGTCATGGTTTAATTAATTCTATCCCGGCCAAAACCAGGACACATATATAGGGTCTAATTGCTTTTCATCTCCTAATTTCAAAACATGTTTTTATTAAACCTGAAAAAAGCATGATACTATAGAATTTATTAATTTGTAATATCCCTAGTTAAAAGGAGCTCCTATTATAACGCATTAGGAGAAATACCATGGCCTAAAGTATGGCGTTACTTCATGGTCATGTACTCTATGTTTGTACTCTGCCCCAGGTGCAAAGTGAGTGCAATTTTTCCCCAATTCCTCTTCCTGGCTATGGCAGGAAGAAGGATTTCTCCATACATAATATATTACAGCTTCGGTGGATCATGCGCCGAGGAGAGACCTCGGGTTTTGCCATTTCTGTCTGTCTGTTCTCCTGCGGCAAGAGCAGAAACGGCACTTGGGGCTAATCAGAAATGGGAATTTCCATTCCCTGGGAAATTCTGACATTTCAAAAAAAAATTGAAACTGTTCTTCAAATGTCAGACAGAATGGGCTGCCAGATTTTTCAAACACCATTCATGGAGGCATGAAGCTTAGATACTCAGAAGATCTCAAAATCTCCTGGAGTGCCAGACCGACAGTGTAATCCTTGAGTGGGATTAGACCTGTTTTTTGCACTTACTGTGAATTTATCTTCAGCAATTCGTTTTTTGTAGTGCCTGGCCATACAAAGATGATGGATAAAAGTTCATTTTTGTCTTCACTTTGTTCTGGTTTAGTTACAACAAAATTTGGGTCCTTGTCAATGTGTCATCCCATGATACTTAACAACCAGAGTACTTTGGGGTGTATTTACTAGAAGATGTCGTTTTGCACATTCTTTATGGTGCATTAGTGTCAACACCTGCACACGGTGCTGATGGGTGCTTTAGGGTGTTTTACGAACAGACTCAAAGCCATTTTCTCAAAGTGAACATAAAAGCAACACTGGTTATGATGATCAGGGCTTGTGTTTCTGTGTCTTGTTTTTCAGAGCATGTCAGATAATGTATAAATATTCCCTAGGGATACGCCAAGTCAGTAAATCAGAGCCATGGCATTACCTTAATCCCGGCATAGAAACCTTTGCTCTCTTCAGGCAATGACTGCTGCTCAGGGATGTCCCTTGTAAAAGGAGTGACAGTGCAAAAGACCTGTAATAAATAAACAGCATATGCTATAGCTTTTCTTGAACAAAATTCATATAATTATGCACCTTTGTGTTGATCAGAGTTGTTAAGTTTTTTCTACCTTTGAAACATATTTTGGGGGTTTAGGCTTTAAAAATGTTTATGCATAAATCTTGAGATTTAGAAGAATTTTTTGTTCATTTAATAAGCAAAGAAACTTGACTTCTGTGTCAACAATTAATAACACTGAATGCTTACAATGTGTTTTCTTCTGCAGTTTTTCAAGCACCTTGGTTAGTGATATTAACTCATTTTAATTAGGGAGAATTACATTGTTCATAGACGTTACTGTCAGGATTAGGACATTAGCCCTTGGGATCCCAGATTTCACTCTGTCCACTGAATCAAATATCCTCTCTACCATGTTTGTAAGTAGATTTTTTACTGAAATTAGTTTGACAGTCATCTATCTCAGAAATTGTGTCAGCAATATAAGGTCTGTCCACTGAATCAAATATCTTCTCTCTCTACCATGTTTGTAAGTAGGTTTTTTACTGAAATTAGTTTGACAGTCACCTATCTCAGAAATTGTGTCAGCAATATAAGAAGGTCCTTTTTTTCTTATTGCATTATAAAAGATGATGCAGATGTGCCCACAGGGTTTATATTGGGGAAAAAAAAAATTCCCCCAAACAAAAAATTCCACCAAACACAATGTACCAGGCCATTTATGTTTTATTCCTAACACAGTCACACAACCTTTCTGCTGAGCCCGCACACCATCTGCCATCTTAATGTTTCATTGGTTTCAGAAAACCCAAACTGATAACATCATTTCTAGAATCATAAGATTAAACTACAGAAGCTTTCCTTAAAGCAAACGACAAAAGGTTCTGAAACTGTAGTTCTGAATTTTTTTTGAGAGGCCTCTTCTCAGAAATGGAATAACAGAATGTGACATAGTAAATCAATTCCAAATAGTCAGATGACATATTTATAGCTACCGCCTTTTTTAAGCCTCGAGTAACCCATGAGGAGGAATTGGACCAATCCAATTTATTTTCTGTTGTGATAAACTCCTTCGGACGGATTTTCCAGCGTCACTCATTGGCCATGCTACTCTTGGTCATATAGGCAGGAGTCGCATAGCACTCTGGAGTATTTCTTTTACCACTCTAAATATTCCTCTTCATTACCAACAAGTCATGAGTTTCCTCCAAACTGAACAATCCTGTTTCCTAACTCATTTACGCACAACAAAAATGCCTCACAAGCAATACAGTGTCATTTGTACTGCTATGGGAAAAATCAAGTGTTTTCTGTGCTCTTCAGGTGGATTATTTCCAGTCCAGCTCAGTCCCAGGTTTATGTGCCTTTTGGGTCGTTTTTACCTTCGTAAAGTTTCTCACTCTTTTGCTGACAGCTCCAGCCAGTTTGGCCCAGTGAAAATGGTGTTATTTGTTACCTTAACTAGATAGAAGCCTTGAGGTCATACTGGGTGTACTGGGGGAAAAAAAAGACACAGGCCTCACAGAGATACTTTACAGTTAATATTTCTCAGATACTTTGTAGTTAGCCAGTTCGCCTCCAAAGGAGACTAAGTCGTTGTCTCCTCAAGGTAATAAGCCCCTGTTATCATTAGATATTTATTATCTCCAAGCATTCCCTAAAGGTTCTTGTTCAGCTTACGGAGCTTTCAAAACAGTTCTTCTGCTGGGAAGGCAGAAGGCGAGCGTTGATCTTCCTCCTGCTGCTTCTCCTACAGCTGCCACGGGGAGAGTCTGCAAAATCGGGATCTGACAAGGCGGTGACAACAGAGAAAGAGTTCAGATAATGTATATTCCCCCTGTTAAAAAAAAATTATACCGATCCCCTTGCAGAGCTCATTGAGCAAATTGAATGCAGCTGCATTGCAGATAATACATTTACACTTGCCGAGCTGTTTGCACTTTTGACTTCAAAGCTTTTTACCGAAATTTTTACACGGAGACTTCCCTCTGAGCACACCACGAGGAGTGCTCCTGCCAAGGAGAGAGCTGCAACGAGAGGCAGCAGGGTCGTGCACGAGGATGCCTGGCACTGATGGAGGCATCTCCTGGTAATCTTCCCCAAAGTGACATCCTGGGAAACGTCAGAACCCAGCTTCTTTCCCTGAGAGCATTGTATTTTCTCCCATATATATTTTAGAGGTCTATTTTATTGATAGAGTACTGAACACTAAAATAAAAATGATAAAATAAAAATGATACACAGAGATATTCTTAGACTATCAGGCCATTCCAGTTCTATCTTTGACACTTTTGGAGATTAGCACAAACTTTGCAAATTCAAAATGTACGGACAGCTGTCATGAGTTACGTTTTATTTCTGTCTTTTATATCGTTCCTCCCCTTGTAGTGCCTTTACCTTGTTAGGTGCACACTTCACTTCACAGTCAGCAGGTATGTTCATCGGCTACTGAGCTACAGGTTGACAGTTTGTCACGTAATTGTTATGATAGTCACTCTGATGATGGGTAATTTTACCTTCAGCTAAATACTAGCTCTTCTTCTCCAGTTCACCAATCAACTTTTTCTTTCTCTTCTTCCCCGCACGC